ATCTCGCTACGGGAGCAAATGTTTCATCAAAATCAATTCCTTCTTCTTGTGCATATCCTTTAGCAACTAATCTGGCTTTATTTCTTACACCAACACCTTTATCATCCAATTTATTTCTAAATATCCACTTTGTGCCAATGATAGGTTGATTTTGAGGTCTATCAACAAGTGTCCAAACCTTATTTCTCTCAAATTGATTAAGTTCCTCTTGCATAGCCAAAATCCAGTTATCATCCTTTAAAGCATCATTGATATTTTTGGGTTCAATAAGAGAAACTAAAGCAAAATTGTCTATCAATTTTCTAGATGAAGAACGAGTCTTTACCTTTTCGGATGGATCACCAATTATAAGCTCTCTTGGATGATTTTGGCTAAATTTCCAAGCATTGGGAAGGTCTTTGACTGAATCATCATTCTCATCTTCATCACCCTTTTCTTGATCATTATGAGCTTCATCCATCATTTCCATTGCTGCTGGTTTAGAAATTCCTTCATCACCAATTTTCAGCTCTTCCATTCCTTCACGAACACCTACATCATCATCCTCACACGACCTTTTGAAATTATCATCATTAGTTTCATCAAATGTTATGTGAATGGCTTCTTCTATCACAAGAGTCCTTCTATTAAAGACTCTATATCCTCTTTTGTTCTCACAATAACCCAAAAATATTCCTTCATCAGATTTTTTCTCAAACTTACCAAGATGTTCCTTTAAATTTAAAATAAAACATTTACAACCAAAGACTTTGAACTATCCAACCGTAGGTTTCTTATCAAAAATCAGTTCATAAGATGTTTTATTCAAAATGGGTCTCAAAAGGATTCTATTCATCACATAACATGCAGTGTTTACAGCTTCAGCCCAAAGGTATTTTGGCAAACTACATTCACTTAACATAGTTCTAGCAGCCTCTTGTAGTGTCCTATTTTTCCTTTCTACAACACCATTTTGTTGTGGAGTTCTTGCAATAGAAAACTCATGGGTTATGCCATTATGATCACAAAATTCTGGAAAACCACAATACTTGAATTCCGTTCCATTATCACTTCTAATCCTAACAATTTTAAAGCCAAGCAGATTTTGTACTTTAGCAAACAATGAAGTGAAATTCTTGAAGGCATTATCCTTATGAGCAAGAAATATCACCCAAGTATATCTAGAATAGTCATCCACAATCACAAAGCAGTATTTCTTACCTCCCACGCTAGTGATTTGAGTAGAACCAAATAAGTCAAGATGCAAGAGTTCTAAAGGTTTAGAAGTTGATACACACTTCTTTGGTTTAAAAGAAACTTTTGTTTGCTTTCCAAATTGACATGCATCACAAATTTTATCCTTTTCAAAACTAATTTTTGGCAAGCCTCTAACCAGTTCCTTTTTCGAAATTTCCTTTAGTAAATTCATGTTAAAATGACAAAGTCTCCTATGCCACAACCAAGGATCATCATTTGAAGCTTTAAGACATTTGAAGCTAGATGAATCAATTTTATCAAGAACCACAATATATATGTCGTTAAACCTCTTACCTTTGAACACAACATTATATTTGGAATCAAGCACAATGCATTCATGCTTTTTAAACAACACATTCACGTCTTTATCACACAATTGACTAACACTAAACAAGTTATAACCTAAGTTATCAACTAAGAGCACATTATGAACAAAAGTTTCACCATCCTTACCAACATCACCTATTCCAATTGTCTTAACTTTCACATCATCACCGAATGTCACCTTTTCACTTGATTTTGATTTTAGCTTTATGAACAAAGAGGGATCACCGGTCATATGCCTTGAGCAGCCGCTATCAATAAACCATTTGGACTTGTTTGAGCCTTTTTCCTGAAAAGAGAAAATGTTTGGTACCCTTTTTAATTTTTGGGTCAACAATAGTTAGCATTGTATCTCACTAACCACATGCATTTCATCCCTTTGTTCAGATTTCTTTTCACATAGCAATCTCCTTTCAAATGCCCTTTTTGACAACAAAAATCACACATAATGGAAGAGTCCTTAACATGTACTGGTTTGACATATCTCAATCCACTTCTTCTATATGTTGTGAAATCATGTGCATTTTTTTTGCGTGCTAATGTTCTTTGATGAGCAGTAAGAAAGGCAGATGACATGTTCTTTTTGAGAAAATCTTGTTTTCTTGCTTTCAAAGTCTCATCCAAGTTGTCCATTCTTTTCTTCAAATCACCATGTCTTTCCTTCAGCATTTTACAAATATTTGTCTTTTTATCAAGCTCATTTTGAACATTAAATCCGGCTCTTACAAGACAATCATTGTCAGTCTTTAGTTATTTATTTTGTTGAAGAAGACTTGTATTTTCATGAATGAGAAAAGCAATTTTCTGTTTTAGCTGCTTGTTTTTATCATAAGATTCCTTCAAGGCATTATGCAGTTTTTCAACAAAGGATTCAAGATCATCATCTTCTTCATCATCACTTTCAGATTGAGAGTGTATGGAAGTTACCTCATTATCTCCAACAGCCATGAAGGCCATTTGAGCTGATTCTTCCTCTTCTTCAACTTCCCCTTCAGAGTTGCATTCATTCCAAGTAATCTGGAAGTTGTTGAATCTTGGCTTTCGATCAGCTTTCCCATCTTTTATTTTCTTCATGGGGCATTCGTTTGCATAGTGTCCAGGCTGTCCACATTCATAGCATTTGTCCACTAGCTTCTTGTTGAATTTTTGTTTTCCTTTGTTCCTTGCATTTGATGAATAATTTTGAAATTGATTGCTAGGTCCTCCCTTTCTAAACTTCCTTTTATTCAAGATTCTCTTGAAGCCTCTTGTGATGAGAGCAAGATCATTATCATCACCATTCGAGTCTTCATCATCCAAGTGAGCTGGATCATCTTCACTTTGAGTAGTCTTTAGAGCAATATTTCTCTTTGTCCAGGCTGTCCACATTCATAGCATTTGTCCACTAGCTTCTTGTTGAATTCTTGTTTTCCTTTGTTCCTTGCATTTGATGAATAATTTTGAAATTGATTGCTAGGTCCTCCCTTTCTAAACTTCCTTTTATTCAAGATTCTCTTGAAGCCTCTTGTGATGAGAGCAAGATCATTATCATCACCATTCGAGTCTTCATCATCCAAGTGAGCTGGATCATCTTCACTTTGAGTAGTCTTTAGAGCAATATTTCTCTTTGCTCTAGCATCCTCTTCCTCCTGCACTTTAGATTTCAGTTTCAACTCATAAGAGGTTAGTGAGTTAATGAGAGATTCAATAGGCACAGAATTTAAATCCTTAGCCTCCTCTATTGCAGTCACTTTATTTTCCCATTCTTTGCCCAATGCATTGAGAATTTTCCTGTTCTTCTCTCCCAAGGTGTACTCTTTGCCCAACACCTCGAGATCTTTGATCAAGTCATTGAACCTGCAATACATTTTGTCAATATCCTCAAGAGGTTCAATTTTAAATGATTCATATTTTGTGACCAAGATAGCCTTTTTCTGTTCTCTCACGTTGTCACCACCCTCATGGATTTCTCTTAGCTTATCCCACATTTCTTTGGCCGATTTACAGCCTTTTACTCTAATTGATTCATTTGAATCTAAGGCACTATAAAGAACATTCATGGCCTTGGCATTCAATGTGAGGTTAGTCCTATCTTGAGCATTCATTTCAGCTCTCGTTTTTGACCGAAGCAACCCTGTATCTGCATCAAGAAAGTTAGCTTCATGCGGTCCTTCACTCACAATAAACCATAGCTCAATATCAATAGATTGCAAAAAGATAATCATCCTTTCTTTCCAGCTAACATAATTGGAGCCACTGAACATGGGAGGCCTAGTAACAGATTGCCCCTCAACAAACATAGCATGACTGGTTGTCATCTTTACTCCAAGCCGTTTAAGCTTAATCTCTAGGAGACCAAGATCTGATACCAATTGTAAGGCCCAAAGACAACCTAAGAGGGGGGGTGAATTAGGTTGATTAAAATCTTAATCAAATTTATGCAATTTTTTTGCTTAATAAAAATTTACCTTCTTTTCTAGTAATGATCAATCAAGTAGATTAGAAGAAGAGAGCAATATTGATTCGAAAAATAAGTATAGATAAGCAATGGGAATTTTATTAAACAAAAAAAGAATAAGATAGAATATCAAACCGATTGTCTACCAAGCTTTCCTCAAACTTGAAGACCAATCACTAGGTTGAGCAACTTCTCTTTGATGAAAGATGATCAATTAGATGTACAATGGAGGGAGCACTTCCTCCTTGCCCTAAGCCTCACTTAGTCAAGCTAAGAAGTTTTACAATCACTCAGATAACCCTCAACAAAGCTACACTAAAGAAACTTTCAATCACAAAAGAAATACTCATAAGAAATTCACACCACTTGGAGACTATTTTCAAGCTAAAATATCTCTTGAGATCTTGTTAACAAAGTGTGCAAAAGTCCTTGTCTTGTTCAGAATCGTTTGTATTTGAAGGGGACCTAAAATGGGCTTCATTAATGCTTCCAACGGATAGAAGGCAGATGAAGAGTCAGCTAGCCGTTGGGGATGTCGGACGTCCTACAGATTAGTCATCGTCCGATCCCATCGTCCGAAAATCAGTCAAGTTGTTGTTCGGACGTCCGATGGGATTTTATCGTCCGAGCTTCTGTGTCCGAACGTCGTCCAGAGAGTTATCAAAGCTTTGTGGAATTTTTAGGACGTCCGATGAGATTGATGTGCGTCCGAAGCATGCGTCCGATCCTTCAGGACGTCCGATGCTTCCTCACAAGCGTCCGACAGTATTTCCTTCTTGATGTTCTTCATCCTTTCGGACGTCCGACAGATTCCTTCGGACGTCCGATATGAGTGTCCTGTTTTTGCTTCTTCTTTTGGTTGATATTCATTTCTTGACATATTCGTACCTGATTCTTTGATAGGCAAAAACACTTATATTTGAAGAGAGTTAGATAAACATTTCAAAGTACATTGTGATCATCAAAACCAAGAATAACACATACCACCTCTTGACGGAGGTAGTGATGGGGAATCGCCAAATAAAGAGGAGTTTAGTGCACCCGAGGGTCATTTTGGGACTGCATTGGTTGCAAGGAGAGCATTAACTGCACGTGTTAAGGAGGACGAGCTTCAACGGGAGAACATTTTCTACACCAGGTGCTTCGTCAACCAAGCACTTTGTAGTGTGATTATTGATAGTGGGAGCTGCACAAATGTTGCTAGTTCACTCATGGTGGACAACTTGAAGTTGCCTACAAGGGATCACCCGCGACCCTACAAACTCCAATGGCTCAACAACTCTGGGGAGGTTCGAGTAACCAAGCAGGTTCTTATATCCTTCCAAATCCATAAATATTCTGATGAAGTATTATGTGATGTAGTTCCTATGCAGGCTAGTCACATTATACTAGGTAGGCCTTGGCAGTTTGACAGACTGGTGACTTTTGATGGTGTGACTAATAAGTATAGCTTCTTGTACAATAGTAAGAAAGTCACACTGGCTCCCCTTTCCCCCAAACAAGTGCATGAGGACCAATTGAAATTGCAACAAGAGTTTGAGAAGCATAGTGCAAAAAGGAAAGAAAATGAGAGAGCCGAGGCAAAAAATGAGAGGAAAAGGGCTATAGATAGCTCGGCAAGTGAGGTAAAAATCGAGGGAAAACAAATGCTCCTGATAAAAGCCAAGAAAGTGAGGAAGTTAATGAGAGATGAGCAGCCACTTCTTATGCTTGTTAGCAAGGAAGTAGCGCTGAATGTGCATGAACTTGATACTGATATACCTCTCGAGGTTAAGTCTCTTTTACAGGAGTACGCTGATGTCTTCCCCGAGGACTTCCCAAGTGGATTGCCACCACTTAGGGGCATTGAACATCAAATTGACTTCATCCCTGGAGCTTCATTGCCAAATCGCCCAGCTTACAAGAGCAACCCGGAGGAGACTAAGGAGTTGCAAAGGCAAGTGGACGAGTTGCTAGGCAAAGGATGGGCACGTGAGAGTTTAAGCCCGTGTGTTGTTCCAGTCATTCTGGTGCCCAAGAAAGATGGTACGTGGAGAATGTGCACCGATTGTAGAGCCATAAATGCCATCACGGTAAAGTATCGCCACCCTATACCTCGCTCAGATGACATGCTTGATGAGTTACATGGGGCTGTGTTCTTTACCAAAATTGATCTCAAAAGTGGGTACCATCAAATTAGGATTAAGGAGGGGGATGAATGGAAAACTGCCTTCAAGACTAAGTATGGATTGTATGAGTGGTTAGTAATGCCTTTTGGGCTAACTAATGCACCTAGTACCTTTATGAGGTTAATGAATCATGTTCTGCGTCCATTCTTAGGAAAATTTGTGGTAGTTTACTTTGATGATATCTTAATTTATAGCAAGTCTTATGATGAGCATCTAGAGCATATTAGGGCTGTTATGGATGTACTTCGAAGAGAGAAGCTCTATGCCAATCTCAAGAAGTGCAATTTTTGCACTAACGAGCTTGTGTTCCTAGGGTTTGTTATAACTGCGCAGGGAATGAAGGTGGATGATCAAAAGGTGCAAGCTATTCAAGAGTGGCCGACACCACGGTCCGTGGGTGATGTTCGAAGCTTCCATGGACTTGCGGGTTTCTATAGGAGATTCGTGAGGGACTTTAGCACTATTGCTACACCCTTGACCGAGTTGATCAAGAAGAATGAGAACTTCCATTGGGGAGATTCTCAAGAACAAGCCTTTCGCGCTTTAAAGCACACACTCACACATGCACCTGTACTTGCTTTACCTGACTTTTCTAAGATATTTGAAATTGATTGTGATGCTTCAGGTATTGGAGTTGGAGCTGTGTTGAACCAAGGAGGAAGACCTATTGCCTACTTTAGTGAGAAACTCAATGGGGCTGCACTAAACTACTCAACTTATGATAAAGAGTTATACGCCCTCATTCGAGCACTACAAGTGTGGCAACACTACTTAAAGCCTAAGGAGTTCATGATACACACCGATCATGAGTCCCTTAAGTACCTTAAGGCCCAGCACACCTTGAGCAAGAAGCATGCAAGATGGATTACATTCGTGGAGTCCTTTCCGTACGTGATTAAATACAAGGCTGGTAAGTCTAATGTGGTTGCGGATGCACTCTCCTGAAGGTACTCTCTACTCACCTCCTTAGATGCTAAGTTGTTAGGGTTTGAGCTGATTAAAGAGCTCTATACCCAAGATAGTGACTTTGGTGAGCTTTACACTTCTTGCAAACACACTGGGCAAGGTAAGTTCTTCATTTCCGATGGATACTTGTTTTGTACCAATCGGATTTGCATCCCACATGGATCACTCCGAGAACTCTTGGTAAGGGAATCCCACTCAGGTGGACTTATGGAACACTTTGGGGTTGATAAGACTCTTGTCATGCTGCAGGAACACTTCTATTGGCCGTACATGAGGAGAGATGTTGCACGGGTGGTGGAACGGGGCTTAGCTTGTAAGAAAGCTAAATCCAAGGTATACCCGTATGGCCTTTACACCCCATTACCTATTTCTAGTGCACCATGGGTAGATATTTCTATGGATTTTATACTTGGTTTGCCTAGATCCAAGTATGGCCATGACTCCATTTATGTGGTAGTGGATAGGTTCTCTAAAATGGCATACTTCATTGCTTGTCATAAAACGGATGATGCATCTCATATTGCTAACTTATTCTTTAAAGAGGTTGTGAGATTGCATGGCATTCCTAGGACCATTGTATCTGATAGAGATGTTAAATTTCTAAGCTACTTTTGGAAGACACTCTGGTCTAAGTTAGGCACCAAATTGCTATTCTCTACTGCTAGTCATCCCCAAACTGATGGCCAAACTGAGGTGGTGAAACGTACATTAGGTACTTTATTGCGTGCCATCATCAAAAAGAACTTGAAATCATGGGAAGAGTGTTTACCTCATGTTGAGTTCGCTTATAATAGGGCTATCCATTCTACTACTAGTTTCTTTCCTTTTGAATGTGTTTATGGCTTTAATCCGCTAACACCACTTGATCTAGTGCCATTACCTAGTAATGAGCACGCACATTTGGATGGTAAGAAACGTGCAGAGTTTGTTAAGCAACTGCATGAGAAAGTCAGGGCTAACATTGAGAGGAGAACTGCTCAATATGTCAAGCAAGCTAACAAGGGTCGCCAAAAGTTGATTCTTGAACCTGGAGATTGGGTGTGGTTACACATGTGCAAGGAACGTTTTCCTGAACAAAGGAGAAACAAATTACAACCACGGGGTGATGGACCCTTTCAAGTGTTGGAGCGCATCAATGACAACGCCTACAAACTTGATCTTTCTGGTGAGTGTGGCGTTAGTGCTACATTTAATGTTTCTGACTTAGCCCCTTTTGATGCAGATGATGCTTTTGATCTGAGGGCAAATCCTTCTCAAGAGGAGGGGAATGATAGCATCATAGTACGTGACCACGTCTACAGTGGCTCGAGTGATCAAGGGGGTGAGGATCGCATGCAAGCTCCAAGTGGATCCATTACTAGAGCTCGAGCAAAGAGACTTCTTGAGCAACTCAGTGTACTTATTCAGGCCATACACAAGTCCTTTGAAGGATTCGTACACTCAAGTGAAGGTGATCGCGGTCCGGTATTGAGCATTGAAGCTACACCTGAGTATTAGGGTCTTATCAAACCCTAGTTAGTGAGATTCGCATTATAGTCATTTAATTCCACATTAGTTGATTAGATTGAATAATTGGCTAAGTGCATGTTGCACATAGAAATGCCAAAGGAAGATTACGTTTTAGTCATCATTATTTGTTAAGGTGAGCTGCCTTGGAGGGAAAGCCCACATGAGGCCCGATCCATCGAGGGCCCATATTAGCACACCTTTAGTTCCTTTTCCTTACTAGTTTAGGGTTTACTTGCAGCCTATATAAGGCACCCCATTACTCCTACAAAGGTAGACACTTTTATGATAAAAATATTGAGAGTTTTCTCCATAGCTTTCGAGCAAACCTTGAACAACTTAGAGTTATACTCTAGTGTTCTTGTTCGACTTATCAATTCAAGAATCGCACTTGAATTGTGGCGCCTTCTACTCTTGCCTGAGGTTCACTAATTCGTTTGATTACGGGTTGAGATAGTATCAACAAGTTCGTAGTCACGGGGATTAGAGGGGTCGTAGGGTTTCCGCTGCCACCGTTTCTTGCATTCGACGTCAAATCCAACAAGCGATCTTGGGTCGCGAATCTCCTCACCAACGAGATTCGTATCATCTTCGTAGTGTATCCTAAACTTGAAATTTAGGGTACCGGACTGTGGGAATGGCTTGAAATTTAAGTAACCGTTTGTAGGGATGAAAATTAGAGCCTAGATTTGAATTAGTGGACAATTAGGAGTGTTAATCTTGTGAGAGATATGTGAGATAAGATGAAATGATCAAATCTAGTTTATTTAGCATACTTGGACCCATCTAAGCTTTTAATTTTAATTGTAAGTTATGGAAGGTAACGGTGGTATTGAGCTGCCTCGGGGGCGCCTTCCGGTGGCCCATTGTTGAGAAAGGCCTAGGGGAGATCGTTGGAGGTATAGCCCAACTCGCCGAACTAGGACTTCATGTGATTTCCAGAAGACTTACTCGTACCCAAATAACATGGGGTTAGCGTTAATCGATGACCGGAGGCGGTTATCCGAGGAAACTAGAGTAGTTCGAGAGAATAATCAAAGACTGAGGGCAATTGTGGATGCCCAGACTACTAGAATTTCTGAAGTGGAGATAGAGGTACTTGAGGAGCGAGAAAAAGACTAAGGCTCCTTGTGAGCAGTTTCAAAAGGCTAAGAGTCGACTTGCTAGGGTAGTACATGAAATTGGAGACCGGACGGATGAGTCGATGCCTGGGTGTGTTACCTTGGTCGAACAAGTGGTGAATGGCAGGATACTCGATGAGGGACGTGAGGTTGAAACTCCTAGTACTGGAAATGAAAATGATCCTACTGAAGTAGCAGAGACTTCTGGCTCCGCCAATCACTAAGCCAGTGAATTAGTTTATATTAATAGTTTTCGTCAAGGATAGTCGGGGTGGTGCTTGTTCAAAGGCCATTGCATTTTGTATTTTGTTTCACTATGCTTCCTACCTTTTGAAGCAATTGAATGTTATTTATGAAGTGCTTGACTTTATCGCTTTATGACTTCAGATCTATGCTATGGGTTGTACACATTTGCAATTATTTTGGTGTCTCCCTTATTAATTTCATTTTGCATGATCAAAGTGTCATTTTTAAACTTCATTTATGTGTACTTATTTTATGTCATGCCTTTATAAATATTAAATTTATGGACGGCCAAAGAAGTGAAAAGGGGCCGAGGGCGAGGGGTTAGGCAATCCCGAGCTCAAGGGGATGATTAGGGAACGACAGCTGGACCAAACCAAAATCCTAAACCAATTAACTAACCTAGGAACTAAGAGATGATGTAAAGATAGAGCAATTCTTGAAATTCGTCAATATAAGTTTCACGGAGGGTCTAATCTCGAAATAGTAGAAATTGGTTTGAGGGGATAAAATAAAGCACTAGTGAGAGCCAGAGGTTAGGGTTTCTTCTTGAGCAACTTTGTAAGTAAGTATTAGAAAATGAACTACGGTATGGAACTTTTATCCTAAGGAATAAAATCCCTGCATTTTGTTATGTTTATAAATAATGATAGTAATCTTGTGAGAGCAAGAGCACGTCCATATTAAGAAGAAAATAGTTAAGAACTATATTTTGGGGTAACCTATAAGCAAAAGAATGAAAGAGTAATATGGCTCGAGCTTCCATTATGAATAGTTACTCATTTTGATCATTTGAATTGTCTGGCAAGCTAGCATTAAACTTAAGTCAACTGGTAAGATGACAAATTTGGAAGAAATGCGTAAGAAAATGGACATTCTTCGAAATGAGGTAGAATTTCAAAAGAAATTGGTTGACTATTGGGAAGGATGGTGGAAACAAGAATATGCAGAAAAAATTGAGTTACTACTCAAGAACGTGGAACTGGAGAAGAAATACAAAGGGAATTCTCAAGTTGGTCACGCCATGACTTCTCGTGTGACTTGTGGATATTGTGGTAAGCCCAACCACACGGAGAATGTGTGAGGACCCAAAAATTTACTTATTTTAAACTCATATTATTGGCTTATTTAAATAATTAATTGCCCATTTTCTCCGAATAATTTATTTCAACCCTTTTAGAACCATTTACATGGAACTATGACTTGCGTATATTTTTAAAATGTCCCGTTAATAAATTTAATTTTTGGAACCTCGTTTAGCGAGAGTTAGTGAATACGCGTTTGGAGGCAATAGTCGATTTGAGAGTACAGTGACCTTGGAGATTGGAGGACTCATGCGTTAGTCTTAAAATAGGTATTTTTATGCTTAATTACCCTAGTATTAGTTAGTTATATCATCGTTACAAGAATTTCTTAGAAATTACGCTTTATCGCGCGCGAGTTGGAAGTTTGCATTTTCACGCCCGTGACTAATTGAAGAACTTTCGAAAATTATGAATGGACAACTAAGAGTGAATAATATTAGTGTTAAAGGAAGTACATTAAAGGTTTAGTGCATAAGTGAAACGAACACGAGAGAAAACGGGCATGAAACGCGCGCATACGCGTACTATTCAAAGTTGACTTTTGTGCAAAATTTGAACCACAACTACCAAGCTTCTCCAAGAAGCTTCACTCATCAGCACAATCTCTCTCTTCTCTCACCCCTTGCTGGCCGAAACTCCAAAGGAAGAAGAAGAGCAAAACTCTTCATCATCTCACCTTATTTCTTGCACAAATTTCTTCACAAAAACACCCTCCAACTTCTAGCAACTTGGGGATTCATCTTAGATTGGAGGAGGAGGTCTTCTAGCCGAGTTTCTTGGAGCTCTTAGTGACCAAAAATTTCTGGTTTTTCATCATCCAAGAGGTAGTAATCATCCAACCCTTTAAACTTGGTTTTAGTAGGTTAAATTTGACCTTGAAGCTTGTAGCTTCATGTGGGTGTCTTTATTTGGTTGAAAATGAGTAGAGTGGGCTCTATGAAATCCCACAATGGACATGTTGGACTGATATGATGATTATGATTGTCATTTATGTTGATTAAATGTTAAACAAGTGGATATAAGT